CAGGATGGAAATTATGGTGCTTATGTCCCTTTTCTTTATTTTTCATGGATACAGAATTCACTTACTGCTTCAGTGTGTATTGATATGGCAGTGTTTTTTGGGGTTTTTTGTGTAGATCTGCGTGGCTTTTTGTTCGTTGTGAAAGCATGGCATGTTCCTAACAGCACTTAAATACCCAGATGGCTGCTTTGTGTGATACCTAGGATATTTGTACACAACGCATGACGTTCACAAGGCATCTAATGGCCAAGTATAGATCCTACACACAGAAGGGCAAGTTATTTTGTCATGGAGCTGTAGGGGCTGTAACCCTGTGAAAATCCCAACTGATAGGAGTGGGGACATTAATTTAGAATTCTAGCACTAGATTACACTAGAAGGATTAATCTTTTCTATCTGCCTCAAGTTAGTAGGGATCTGAGAAACTTAAAGTACCTTTCCTCCACTATAACGACTGAACGGAGCGAGGTTTTGTTTCTTCTGTCTTGCCTGTCATGAGAAGTTTGCTTACCTGTTATCTTACTCCCACTTCAAGTGTCTCACTCCTCTGAGGCAGGAAGGGGGAAAAAAGATATTTGTTGCTGTAACTGTTCCCCACAAAATCTGTGTATGTGTGTGTGATCGTAGATAGTTGGGATGAACTTCATGCCTGTCTCAGCCACTGCTCTCAGCTCTCCTAAGCAGCAGCTGTCGCTTTAAAGCCAGTGAAACTATTACCTGAACAGTACAAGTTAAATTGACTTGGTTTAGTTAATTCCATACTGCTGCTACCTGGAAGAGCTGTATATGATGGCAGAAGTCTCATGGCAGATGCTTTGGGTGTTCAAAGGGTGAACTAATGCAGTTTCTTAACTTCCTAGAGGCTGGATTTCTATTTTTTTTGTTTTGCATTCATAGGTGTTAGAAATTTTTTAGAGAGAGCTTAAATCTTGAAGAAACTGGTGGCTTAAATCTAACTGTTCTTCATCAGGAAAAATCTTTTTGTCCAGCATGGGCAAGTAGGTTTTCAAAGATCTACAGGTACAACTTCTTTGAAGGTAGAATGTAGTCCCACATCATCTTAGAAGTGCAAGAAATAGAGAAGATGTCCTTTGCATATTCAGTTCTTTCTACAGATTCTCTCTTACAGGGGTTTTCTCTGGTTATTGCTTTCTGTAGCCTCAATGCAGTTACCAAAACTGTCTCTCACTTTATAGCCTATCATAGCAATGGAACATTAGTTTCTAGGTTTAACTTTTTTCCAGGACCAGCATTGGACCTTCCTAATGGAAGGCCCTTTCTTCTAGAATTTTCTTTCTCTCCTTGGCCATCCCAGTTGGCATTGGTTGGTAAGCTGCTTTCTTCAGGAGTAGTTGTGGGTATAGATTTGTAGTGTAAATGATTCATATACACTGAAGCTGTAGGTTTTTAAAATCTCTTTTAAAAGCAAAGCCTGTGATATTAAGATCTCATTATTTTTATTATTATTATTGTTATTATTATTATTATTTTTAGAGCACTGCACCCCATGTTCACTCCAATCTCAGCCATTTTCAACTAGGGCAGCAAGGTGGTGGAAACACCAAATTATTCAGCTTTGTAATCCTTGTGTACCTAGGTGATATAATTGAAGTAACTGGCAAGTTGATGTGCTCCCCTCTCCCCAACCTGGGCAGGGGGTAGTGGAGGGGCAGCCCAGATGGCAAAGCAGCAGCTCAGGGCCTTCAACACATGACCTGAGACGGTGAAGACTGAGATGGCACTTCCACTGCAAATCCCTCCTTTCACTTTTCTTGCAACTTCCTTTAAGTTGTTTCAGGCCAAAGTTGAAGAGGAATGGAGGAGTTTGAGGGGAATCCATTCAGCCTCAAATATGTGAGCTGGAAGAAAATATATGTTCTTAAAAATGTGGTAGCTCTTGCACCTGGTTATGTATTTGTATCTAGAGGGAGCTGCCTTGTAATGGTCAAATTAATTGGCTAGCAGAACAGTGTACTCTGCAGTGACAATTGAATCTATCGTGAAAGCCACAGGACCCTTCTTGGATAGTATATGGTGGTTTCTGTTTGGCATTTTGTCCGTTACCTGGTTTTATTTTCTGGATCAAAATGATAATTGAATGAAGCCCATTAAGTAAAATTCTTCCAAACTGACCTTGTTCCTCTTGAGTATTTGGAAGTGCAATACAGTGCTTGATAAAAGCAAACTTGCTTCCTGGGGCACTGAACTGTAAATGAGCAAGATCTGGTGTCTGCTGGCATCACCAGATCTTTCAGACTTGTGGGGCTTGGCTACTGTCACCTAGGCTGCATGATGAGTGGGATGGCAGGCAAGCTGTGTCTTCTGTGTTGCTGGTGTGTGCTTTAGAGTACAATAGGTCTCACAAATGCTGCTTGCTCTGAGAGACCTGCTAATGAGGAGCAAGTGCAAAAACATTGGAAGAGCCAGAATTCTTGCTTGACAAAAACTTTCTTTCTAGTTCTGCTTCCTCCTTATTGTCTGGTTTTCAGTAAAGAGGTGCTGCATGAACTCTGGGGGTGGGATGTCTGCTATGCAGAGTCATGCTTTGGCTAAAAATCCTTCTTTCTGTGGCTTGTAGAATTTCTTTGGGGCGCTCTGAGGGGAGGAGGGGGATTGAGACTTTAAGCTTAAGCCATCTGTAGCTTTGTTGTTGGGCTGTCGAATTCAAGCCCCTCAGTATACATTTAGTAATTTACCAAGCCCACTCTTTAAGCTTAATCCTGTAAATTCTTGTCTTGTAGGAAGATGACGATTCAGAGACTGAGAAACCTGAGGCTGGTGACCTAAAGGTATTTGGAAGTGTGGTGTGGTGGGGTGGGGAAGCTCTTCACAAAAGAAATAAATCTAAACAGCGTGGCTTCGTTCCTGGCTTGTTTTGTCACGTAGTTAGTTCAAGCTCTGACTTATTTTTGTACTTGTGACACAAATGTTCAAGACCTTTTAATCCTAGCTTGTGGGAGAGATTTAAGGAAGCAATAGTCATGTAACTAGACCTGTGATTAAGCTGAGAGTCAGGATCTGAAGTCCTGGATGAGCTGTACTGTGAATTAGATCTGACCTGGTGGGAAGTTGTTAGAAAGAATCAGTGCAGCGATGTGCATAATACAATACAAGCTTATCACAAAATGATCAGAAGTCTGTTGTGACATACATGTCTGAATGCTTCTATTTAGAAGTTTTTGCATGAGAAATAGCTCAGTAGAGGAATCTGTTTGCAATGGGTTCACAGCCTCTAGAAACACTTATAATATGCACTGAGAGACAGCCCAAGGTTTTATGGTAGCACTGACTAGTGGTGTAGCCGTGGTGGTCTAGGAAATATGAGGCAACAGTCTTTGCAGGTGATACGTTTTTTTTATTGGACCAGCTGCAAGGCTGGGATACTTACTCAAACTTTTGAAGAAGAATGAATGAGACCTGAAGAATGTGGTGCATTCAAAAGCTTGTTTAAGTCTATCTTGCAACCCTGCAGTTAGTCCAATAAAAGGTACCACCCACAGAAATCCTGGCTAAGCTTTTTATGCCAGACTGCTCAGTCATCCTTTTTAATAAGAATTTGTGTTCAAAGCTATTTGACAGTGAAAGAGCACTATTAATCCCAAGTTGGGGATTTGCAAATAATGGCCTTTAGAAAAATGCCTTGTACCTAAAATTGTGTCACTGCTTGCACTGCTGGCATTCAGTTGCTGTGTAACAGAGCATGGCAACACATTTAAAGGCAGGAAATATGTGGATGAGCTGTATCCACCAGAAGATAGATAAAGAGACATGTATAGATAGGATATAATCATGTTGGAGCTTGGTTTGGAAGCTAGATTAATCCCCATAACTACATGAATGTGCAGCAGGATACTGAATGAGTATAAATTGCCCAGGGAAGACTTTTACCTGAGGACCTGTGTCCTGTCTCTTACCTAAACTTTGTAGAAGGCAGGGTAAGATTTGCATGTCGTGAACTAAGCAAAGTAGATAAACTCTGCAATCAGGCTTCACCTCAATAAATTGGAAATTCTGTGGTAGCTTCAAGTAAACGCAAAATAGAGGTTTTTATTGGATAACATGTACATGACTGTAACTTCAGTGTTTTGGTACTCTGCTTGAATGTATTTGAATGTACCACCTAATCAGTTCACCAACTCTTTGCATCAGTGTAGGTCCTTGCCGTTGTATCGGTGAAGGTCTTGGTAGCTGGGTAGAACAATGGGTTCTTTCTGCCCAGGGAGGCATGAGACATGCCTGAGAGGTTTTGCCACAAAATTGGAGGCTGAAGCTCTAGGTAATGGGCATGGAAATGTTTCCTGGGGAGCAAAAGTGACTTTCAGTTTAGGAGAGGGGAAGGAGGCCCCTTCAATGTCATGTTCCTCATCTCGACACTCAGCCGTTCCAATTCCCTCTCCTAAATATTGGCCACTGGAATCAGTACTGTTGGCTGAGGTCATCCCTGGATGTATTTCTTGCTAGTTGTTTGAAAAATACTGCAGTGGTTTGCACTTGCTTCAGATTTCAAAGGTTTTCACAACCAAAACTGCTGGATAGGCTTATTTTAAACGAAAATTGAAAAATATGTAATGGGATCTGGCCCTGCTACAAAACAAAGGGTCTTATTGCAGCTTCTTGTTTTGCACCTCGTGTGAATAAAAAACTTCAGTCTCCAAAGGAGTTGATCCATATCAGCAATAAATTCCTAGCAGATTTAAGCAGTAAGATGCTGCCACTTGTAGCAGTGATGCATTTATTTGAAAATAGCTCAGCTGTATTGTTTGCAGTCTGTCAAAGCATCCTCTTTTTCCATATTTTCTAGCTGTTCTTATTAACAAATGATTAGTGGATTAATCCTTTTATCCATGAGACTCTCCATGCATTGAATGCCAGGGACAGCTCTACGTATTAAGTGCCAGAGCTGCAGCTTTGAAACTGTAAACAATGGATTCTCAAAATACAGGTAAAAGTGGCAGGAGGTAGTCAATGAATGTCCCTGCACGCACACTTCTTTGTAATGGGCAGTGAAAGGGAAGAAAATACAGGGAAGGCAGATGATGCACTGAGATTGACTTGAAGGCCATGCAGTACGTGGGAGCTGGGAATATAACTACTGGGAGTTCTTATTCTCACATTGGTACCTTAACTTTGGAGCATCTTACCTGCAGCTTCCACTGATCAAACCGGTATATCCTAGCCTGTCAGCTATCAGCCAGTGACCTGCTGCTGCAGGGAAGGTAAATGGCTTTAAGAGCAATCGAGTCCTTTTAAGGTATTGTCTTTTTATCAATTTAAGTAGACCATGGCTGTTTAAGAACTTGCCCTTGATTTTTAGCTTTCCAGTACACTGCTCTGTTAGAATCAAGTGCCACTCACACCTGTTGTAGGGCAGAACAATTGTAATTAATGGAAAATCCAAAACTTTCTGCTCGAGATGTAGCAGAGTAATATTGCCATGCAGTAAATCTATAAAAAGGACTTTTCACCAAGGAGTTAACATTCCCTTTCAAATACAGTAGTCACGGGAGATGGTCCAATTCATGAACTGGAACCCAGCATCAGCGAGAAGGTGGAGAGCATTGGAAAGCTAAAGGGAAGGAGGGAGTTGCATGGCTGATCACAGCTGCAGCAAGACATAGAAGAAGGGTGTGTGTCTACAATTGAAATGAAAGCTGAGAGAAGGAGCCAGGTTTGCAGCCATCCTCAGGGGCACCTGCATGATTTTGTTGGGGGTACAATGCCATTCAGGAACAGAACTGCACACAACCTTGAAAGAAAAAAATCCATCATTTGGAAAAAGAAGAAAAGTAATGGGCATTTTAAAATTTTAAAAAATCTTATAAACTGGAGGGGGAGAGAGTTATTACACTGAGCTGTGAAAGAATCCAACTGAGAGCCTGTACATAGTTTCTCATGACAGCCTGTACATAATTTGTGGTGATCTCGCTGAGGGCATGAATGTGGAAGAGGCTCTGTTTGAATTCTCTGCCCAGTTTAAAGAAGAACTAAACACTTATGTTCACATACTGCAAAGATCATTCAGAAAATACCCCTTTTCTTACCTGAAGAAGGAAATCTTACCTTTTAGGCACAGGATGAGGGATGGAAACCAGGATTCCTTTCCTAACTATGCTGAGGGATTGTCAACCATTGAGCATTAAGACGAATTTAAAGTGCAGTAGCTGTCCCTGCATAATTTAATGTGGGGCATTCTTAGTTCACATGAATGTAATGAGGGAACTCTAGATGTAAATAATCCCTTAATGTAAATTTGGGCAAATTGTTTAATGTCTGTTGACCCATCCTGGAGTTCTTGAGACGTAGTGCTTGCAGGCCTTTGAAAAGGAAGTGATATGTTTTAATGCAAATGTATGTAACTTCTCCTGAGATTGGAATAATAGCACCAGGCTCTTATATAGCACTTAGCTGTTCTCACCGTGCTTTACAAAGGAGGCCAGTATCATTATCTACATTTTGCAGGTAAGGAAACTGAAGGAGCAATTTAAGGAAAAAACTTGATGAACATTTCCTGGTGGGAAAGAAGACAAGCTAAAACCATTATGAGGCTAAGAAGGCAAGTTAGAACAGGTGTCATCCCCTCCCTCTTTGCCTTTTGTGGTCACGGGTCCAGTATTATGTACAGAGATCTTCCCAAGAATGACAAGACTTATCAGTGTGCTTAATAAAATACATAGTTTGCCCCAGATTTTAGGTTAGGTTTTAAGTGAGCATCTGAACAGCAGTCCCCATTCCATTTAAGCCAACGTCTCTGAAGCAGTGCTTCAAAAGATAGATAATACCCAGATTAGATCTTTTTCAGTTGCAGGATGTAAAAATTCCTTTGGCCTCAGTATAGAACTTGTCAGGTGGTAATGCAAACCCAGGTCTTAGCTAGCTGGACAGGGGAGCATCTCTTTACTTGTGGTTCATGAGACTGCCCCTCACCCTGAAGTGTTCGTCCTCTCACTTCTTTCCCCTTTCCTTCCATCTTGGCATGGGATGAAAGACATGGAGATAAGGCAAGGGAATTTTTCAGATTCCAAAGTTAACTTCCCTCACTTGTTGGTTTGAGGTAGTGATTCTCAGCCAGAGTGCGCTGCATCTCGGGATGCCTTGAGATCCTTTCAAGGGTGCCACACAATATTAACACTGTTAAGTGTGCAACGGGATTCACAAGATCAACCCAGAGATTGCAAATGGGTATCCATAGTGTCAAACACACGTTGACCTCTTGCATTTTTTCTGAGTTCTTTGCAACAGAAAAATTGCTCTATTATTTTTTCTGCACTCAAAAATGAGTACAAAATTAAGAGTTAGCACTTTCTCAGGGGATGCCTTGTGTCTAAAAAGGTGGTGAACCGCAGGCTTGAGGTGTATACACCAGTTACCTGTGGTTCCTAATGAAGGGAATACCAGAAACACCCTTTTGGCTGTTTTTCTGTTTCCACTGTGAACTCCAAGAGATGCCGGTGCTGATCTTCCCCCTCCAGACAAGGTCCTGCCATGTGAGCCATCCCTGGGTTCCTACCAGACTGGAGTGCTGTATAGAAGGTAGGTCGCTATAAATAGCACACAGCTTGTGGGCTACATTTGCAGTAGCTGAGAGATTCCTTGCAAAATGTTTATATTAAAGGAAGTCCTGTTTGAATTAACACCAAGTGTTTCATACCCTACTTTTCCAGCAAGTGGCAGTATTTTTCTGTTTTTATTTTTTCCTGTTGCTTTGATCATTTAACACCAGGGAGGGAAGAAAGCTTTAATCATGGGTGTGGCTGTGGAAAGCAGCTTGATTTAACTTTACTAATAACAT